TGTCTGGTGTGATTGCTGGAKGGGACCTCTAATTCCTAGTTTTCTGAGTCTTTGAATCTTTGAATCCAGCAGTAAGTAACAGGACCCCCCTCAGGCTTGAAGACTCAGGCATTTAATTAGCAAGTCTGTGGAGAACAGTTGGCTGTATGATGGATGTATTGGACTGGGGAAGAAGGGACCTGGGACCAAGTGATGTCAGGGGCTCAGTAGGGCTTGGAGGCTTAAAGGAACCTTTGGGAAMCCAGCATTCTGCCAGAGTGGAGAGAGTACTATGAGCAAAGTTCTATATGGCTGGGTACCTTAGAGAAAGGTGCTTTTCCTTGAGCAYTGGGCCTTTGAACCTGGAAAAATGAATAGGGATCAGATCCTGGAAAGGCCTTGAAATGATATGTGAAGACGTTTGGATTTTATTTGGAAAGCACTGAGGAGCTACTGAAAATATTGGAGATGATTTGGCCCATTAGAGGATCTATAGAAGAAAATTTTGATWTGAGATATTGCAAAGGTATCCTTGATGCATTGACTTAGGCTGATTTGGTGGGCACCCCTGKGAATAACTTACGTTTTTCCCAAACTATCCAGTTGACTGGATGAAGACTACTTTTTAGCCACAATACAGCAATATAATTAGGCCAGTATTAGCCCACATCATATGAAGAAGCAGCATAGGCACAAACAGCATCAAAYTGAAGCTAGCCTTTCTTAGTTTGTATACCAACTGACCATGTAGCCACTCTTTTATGAAATTCAAAATCCTCTTTTTAAAAACATTCATGCCAATTTAGATTGTGATTTTTAAAAAGAGAATCATAAACCTGCCAAAATGACTTGGGCTTTCTTTGTTTATTTTTTCTAWCCTGAAAGGAAAATGTAGTTTTATTACAAGTTGTTTGCTTTGATTGGTGAGTTTAATCAGAAAAAATACAAGAGGATCAGAGGTCATGGCTCAAATGGTAGAGTATTTGCCTAGCACATGTGAGATGCTGGGCTCAATCCTCAGCACCACATAAAAATAAATAAATAAAAACAAAGGTATTATGAAAAAAGAAAAGAATATTGCAGTGTTAAAGATGTAGTTAAAGTAGATTTGAACTCTTGTTGCATATTTAAGTTTATTGAATATATATATATATAGGTTACTTTTATACTATGTTTATGTCAAGGGAATATGAATGACATACACAGTTGTTTCTCAGTTGATGTTTTTAATGTATTTTATTTTTTATTTTTTTTTTTTAATATTCATTTTTTTAGTTTTAGGTGGACATAATATCTTTATTTTACGTTATGTGGTTCTGAGGATCAAACCCAGTGCCTCATGCATGCCAGGCGAGCACTCTACCACTGAGCCACAACCCCAGCCTTTAATGTGTTTTAAAGTCTTTATATTCTTATTTCTAACGGGATAATTTATAATTTTGAAAAGTATAGAATATACCTTGTTTGTATTTGCTTTATAATGTCAGCACTCAGTAATGACTAATTCGACATAGTTTTATTAAAAACTTAATACTGGGGCTGGGGATGTGGCTCAAGCGGTAACGCCATGTGTGGGCCACTGGGTTTGATCCTCAGCACCACATAAAAATAAAATAAAGATGTTTTGTCCACCAAAAACTGAAAAATAAATATTAAAAAGTTCTCTCTCTCTCTCTCTGTTCTCTCTCTAAAAAAAAAAAACAAACTTAATACTAGGAAATGATAACTACTATCAGATGGAATTCATACTACTGTCTATTTAAAAGGAGCTTTGTCCTTCAGTTTTTAATTTCTAGTTCATGTTGTGTTCATGCATTCTAAGTATGTAGTTACTAAAGCATATTTTAATTTARGGGTAAATATGAATATACATTCTAAGAGGTTTTTCCCTTTTTGAAAATTACTRTAACAATTGTTAATTCATTGAGTATAATTTACTTTCAAATAGAGTGTTTACTTTTTTCCATTGTGAGAGTTGAAAAAGTATATTAAAATTATTTTCAAAAATAATTTTAAAAAAATCACCCTACCCCTACCATCAGCTACTCAAAACTCAGTTAACACAGCCATTTGATATAGTTTCTTATATCCTTTTTTTTCTTTTAATTTTCACTTTAAAAACCATGGTTGTAATAATGTTGTGACTAAAATTTTGTCTCCTGCTTTTTAAGCCAATCATGTCCAAAGTTTTGTTTTGTTAAGTGGTCTTTATCATTGTCAGCTTTGATAGATTCAAGATAATGCATCATRATTTATTTAAGTTATTATGTGATGTTTAAACACTTAGGTTATGTTCTGGTTTTTTTTTTTATTATGAATAACAATATCTTGAACTACTCAAGTATAAGTTGTAACTTCATATATAAGATTATTTTCTTGGAATAGATTTTCAAAGTGAAAATAGCATTCATTGGTATAATCCGTAAGTACCAGRGTTCACTCAGCATTTCCAGATCTGAACTTCATTCCTTCCCCCGGCCATCCTGTGTAAATCTGTGTTCCTTCCCAAATCTTGTTTGGTGTCCTTGCATGTTCCTGCCTTCCCTTGGCCCTCCAGCTTCCTCAACAGTCAAATCCAGTTTGTTCCAGTTCCTCGMGGTGTCCTGTATCTCTTCCTCCATTCCTCTGCTACTGTCCTGTTAGATGCTCATTCATGTGCAGTGCGATCACGTCCTCTGACCTGTGTACTCTTGCCACCTCCTTTGTCCCAGATCCTCACATCTGTTCCTGTTATTCCACTCCTTTGTGCAGGCTTGAGCTGTTTTCTAGTGCTTTTCCACMAGGCTCCTGGTCTCCCCTCATCCTCACCTTCATGTTCCAGCACCTCTGAGCAACTTGTAGTTTTCTTATCAAGTGACTGCACATTCCCCTCCTTTGGCCCAGCCCACCACCACCCACTGCTACAGGTTTGTGGGCCTGTACATATACACATTTGACTCCTTCCACATGGTAGTGTAATTGAGTGCTTCTTCCCTGCTAGACTATAACTCTCTGAGAATGATGCCCTGTGTTATTTTTGAGTCCTTAGTAACTGTAAAGTAGTCAATGAAGTATTGRTTGTTGTTTTTAAGACTCTTAACAAATTAATTGGATCAACAGAATTCTACCAGTGAACATTGATTGCTATCAGTAACAATTTCTGCATAAATGGGTCATAATCACTCAGCCTTGAATAATACTTATATTTTAAGGATTTTTTACTCTAATGTTTTGAATTCCCTCTATTCTGTTTTCCCAGGAGTTCCATATTAATTCTCCCTGCCAACTGTAGTTGATGATCATATAAATATATGTGTGCTGTTTTAAAATACTTTTCTTTTCTCAGTAAAATACTACATATAGTGCAAATGGTTGTTCTCAAGTAAATATGTTCATAGAAATTGCATCGGTGCATTTTATATTTTAAAAGTTCTTTGGTTCTATCAATAGCATGGCTTTGCTACTTTATCTTAATATTGAGCATTGTCTCCATTCTGTGATTATTTTTTTAAGAAGTAATCCTGGAACTTCTGATGTTATATACAAAGGTTATTTGAAGAACAATTTAATTGTCCTCTTTTCTTTATATTCTAATACATTTAACAACTTTCTTCTAAAAGTACTCTTTATACTAGTTAGTATAATGTTATTTCTATCTTATAGCTATGAGTTGACGCATTTACTTTACTTTCAAATAATATGTTTAATTTTTTCCATTTTGAAAGGTGAAAAAGTATATTGAAATTAAAACAAATTTTAAAAAAATCACCCCAACCCTATCATCTACTGCCCAAACCTCGTTAACACAGATTCTTCCTTTCATCCTTTTTTTTCTTTTAATTTGTGCTTTTAAAGCCATGGTTGTAATTAGTTGTGCTCTCTTATATGATTTGGCCTGCAAAAAGCATAATGGGGAAAAATCAGTTTAAGAATATTCTAAACAGTAAGTCTGGTAAAACTAATTTGTGAAGATATTAAAAAGAAGTCCCAGAGTATATCCTCAGACTGAGTTTGGTAAGCTTTTTTCCTGAGAGGGACCAGATAGTAATATTTATGCTTTAGGAAGTTGCATATGGTTTATAACATAATATTTGACTTAAAAAAACTCTTTAAACTTAAAAATTTATTCTTAGCTAAAATCTGTGCAAACAAAAAACCTTGAGTTTTCTTTCTAGAGGTTGAAAAGAGTTCTGCTGCATTCACAAAGATTTTAATCTCTCGGTTTATAAGTGTTCAACTTGCCATTAGCCCTCTGAGTCTTGGAATTGATCTAAGCAAAGTCCTAATAAATATGATGTGAAAACTTGAGGAATTGCCCTCACCAAGATCTGTGATATAGCAGTTTAAATAGAACATCAAAAAATTGATAAACATATTTACTAGGCATGCATTTACGACACTACCAACAGAACTGCATGAGCTCTGTTGGCAGGCCATAGTGTGCAGATGTAGAAGGCTGCTGATAATTTGCTATGGTACATAGCACAGCTCTGATGAGGAGAATTGTTGCTGGCCACCAGAGACCTGGCTCAGCAGTGAGAATAAAAAGACCATTCCCATTTCTTGGATGACTGGGTAGAAGATGTTCTAACTATTTGTCCTGATGATATCTTTATTCTTTGTTAAGTACACCAGACTGTATGGTTAAAGATAAATATGTACAAGCAGATTTTCATGTGTGATCATTTTTCTAGGGTAACTTAAGAAACAAAAATGAGAAAATTGGACAAAACGATTGTCTATCTTGGTAGGAACAGTCTAAAGAAATGAAGTAGTAACAATGGAAGTAGTCTGATCATCCAGACTCTATCCCTCAAACTTTAAACTCCAAGGCCACCCCCTACCTGGGGGCAGATGTCTCAAACCTTTTTGAATAAAACATCATTTTACTTACCTTTTAGGCCATCACTTGATTTAAGAGACATTGAATATTGAATTGTCATTTACATGAATTAAAAAATTTATAGATTAAAAATTTCTAAAAGATATGATCAAACACAAATGTAAACCTTGAGAAACATAATATTCTCTCTTGGTTTCAGGTTCTGGGCATCCAAGTAAAATGCTTCCATGAAATCATCACTATAGGTTACAGGGTCTATCATTCTTATGATCTTCCATGGTTCAGAACACTGAGTTGGTAAGTAAAATCTGTTTCCAGTTTGAAAATCTGATTCTTTTCTAAAGTTTATAAAAACAGCATCCTGATAAATCATTGTCCACTCAGTTTATGTTATAGATTGATTTTGGAGAAAGGTAAATAAAAAGAATGTAATACAGTTTTGAAAAGAAGAAAATAACCTGTTTTATCACAACACAACTTTTTTCATAGCTCATATTTCATTCTTTGTAGAGATATGTAATTTATAATAAATATAGATACCTTTCTTTTTTTCCTTAACATTGTATCATACATTTTTATATCTTTTAGGATCATAATTTTATTAAAATGTTTACTCATAATCTTTTACTTTATTTTTCCTCAGTTGAAAAGAATACAAAATATTTTATATACACAAATGTATGTAAAATTAGAAAAAAATMATTGGATGATTTCAACATTTAAATGTTTACTCATAGCTATCAAGACCTTGACCAGGAGATATGATATCATAAGAATTTATATTTAACCTAAGTGGTCATGCCTTTTAGCATAGTTGTTTCATTAGTATCAGCCAAGGAACCTATCATCTTTGGGGTTTAGAGTAGTGAAAACAGTTTCTTGATTTTGGTGATAGCTGATTTTCCTCCTAGAGGTTTTCTTTGTTAGTAATGGCAAAATGTAAGGGAAATGTTAGGTGGGTAAAGTAATTAGAGAACAATTAAATGTTACATCATGCAATACTACTAAGTATGGGAAAAGAAAAGATAAATCAGGATGGGCTCCAGTGATTATAGAAGGCTTAATAAAATAAAAGAGAGATTAACTGACTCTGAAATAAAAACAAGCTTTGGATGAGAAGAGTACTCTGGGTTGGAGAAGCAGGACCCATCAGGGTCTAGGTATGGCGTGTACTACAGATGGTGTTACATTGGTGACCTTCCTGAGCAGAGGTATTTATTGGGGAATAATGGGCAAAAAATTGGATTGGTGGGCTAGGTTAGGCCTTGATAGCCTTACAGAGGAGTCGAAGCCATATCACAGGATAACTGAAGAAGGTAATGCAGTTGATGGGGAAAAGAATACTTTTGGGAATAGTGGGGTATCATTCCATCTGTGAGAACCTGAGAGAATCCACTCTTTTTTCTTGGACTGTTCTCTAGCCAGCTAGGACTTTGCCTTCCAGAGCAGGAGGCACAAAGGAACTATCTAAGGCAGTATTTATCAGCCTTTTTCTGAGCTTACCCTCTGTCTGAGGGAGGGGACACACTAGAGGAGGGACAGATGATTTATGAAATTTTAAAAAGTTTCTCCTAGAGAATTAGACCAGAAACTAGGGTAAAAAAACATAGAGTCAACTACTTTCTCAGCAGGACCTCTAAAGCTCAGGAAATAATGCCAAGAGTTAATAAATGGGATGGCATCAAATTAAAAAGCTTCTGCACAGCAGAAGAGACAATTAGGAATGTGAAGAGGATCCTACAAAATGGGAAAAAAATCTTTGCTAGCTATTCTCTGACAGAGGATTAATATCTAAAATATATGAAGAGCTAAAAAAAAAACCCTTCATACCAAAAAATCAAATAGCCAACAAATAAATGAGTACACGAATTAAAAAGATGCTTCTCAAAAAGTACCTGAAAAAATGGCTAACAAGTACCTGAAAAAATGTTCAACATCATTAGCAATTAGGGAAATGCAAATCACTACATTGAGATTTCATCTCATACCAGTCAGAATGGCAGTCATCAAGAATACAAATAATAACAAATACTAGCAAGGATGTGAGGAAAAAGGAACACTTTTACATTGTTGGTGGGATTGTTAAATAGTACAACTACTATGGAAATCAGTATGGAGGTTCCTCAAAAGATTAGGCATGGAACTATGGTATGACCCAACTATAGCACTCTTTGGTATTTATCATACAGAATTAAAGTCATCATACTACAGTGATACATGCATACTCATGTTTATAGCAGCAAAATTCACAATAACCAAATTGTAGAACCAGCTTAGGTGTCCATCAATGGATGAGTGGATAAAGAAAATGTGGTGTATATATACACAATGGAATTTTATTCTGCCATAATTGAAAATGAAATTATGTCATTTGCAGGAAAATGGATGGACCTAGAGACTATAATGTTGAGCAAAAAAAGCCAAACTCAGAAGTTATTTTTTTCTCATATGCAGAAGCTAGAAAGGAAAAAGGAAAAGAAAGGTGGGGGTGAAACTCCTAAAACTCAAGGGGAAGATCAGTAGGGGAAAGGGACCAAGCAGTGAGATGGGGAGGGAGCAAGGAAATGCTGGGAAATGATACTGGCCAAATTATATTGTTATATTGTGTATTGTATGCATGTACAAATATGTAACAACAAATTCCATCAGTATCTACAACTGTAATGCACCAATTTAAAAATGTAGGGCCTGGGCTCAGTAGCATGCACCTGTAATCCCATTAGCTCCAGAGGCTGAGAAAGCTGGATCATGATTACAAAGCCAGTGCCCCTGGGTTCAATCCTTGTTACAAAAAGAAAAAGAAAAATTGTGGGGAGAAAAATCTTTCTCCTAGAGAGTTTTACCTGCCATTAGGTCCTTTTGTCTAGTTTCCCTTTATCTGAGCATTGAAAAGAGCAGAAAAAGATGCCAATATTGTGTGCAGGACAGTGGGAGAAGGTTAGACTAACTCTTCTTCCTTTCTCAATCTTCTTAGAGCAGGTGGGGATGTGTCCTGATGGTTACTATTACAAAGCACTAAACTGTACTTTGAGTACTTGGGAGTTAATTTTCAGTGTGTATGTTGTATTTTCTGCATTGTTTTCTCTGGCGTTATAGTTTGGGTTAAAGATATGAACTCTATTCAGTAGATAGTTGTTGACTGATTTTGAATCGGTCTTCTGAATTTGGTTTTGTATCATCAAAATGTAGAGAATTATTCAATTGAGTTTGAGGGAGGAAAGGCTTCAAATATTTAAAGGAGTTAATTGTTTTTAAATTATAGGTACTTTCTACTGTGTGTAAACTACTTTTTCTATGGAGAGACTGTGGCTGATTATTTTGCTACATTTGTTCAAAGAGAAGAACAGCTTCAGTTCCTCATTCGCTACCACAGATTTATATCATTTGCCCTCTATCTGGCAGGTAAGTTGAGGACTTATTTATTCTGTGTCAATATGTAGCTAGTATATTTCCCATGTTTATTTTTACTTACGCTATTTAAATATATAATATATTTTATTTGTTACATTTTGTTCCAGTCTCTCTTTTTAAATATTTCTCATGTGTAAAGCTATTTCTTCTATTATGGTCTTAAATAGCATTTACTCCCTAATGGTGGTTTTTAAAAAGTACTAGATTAATAGTACTTTTAATTTTCTTTGAAAATTATAGTAAAGAAACTTTAAAATGCACAGTAATTATTAACCAAATAAAATTTACAAGGAAACTTTTGTATATATGTGTGTGTATAAATGTGTATTTCTCTAACACACATATAGAGAGAATATATAGGAAATAGAGCTTTCGTATAGAATTCATTAGGGTTATTAGTTTTCCCAACATAGTTACTGTATATGTATATGTTTATTTGGTGTGCTACACCACGTTTTTATTTTATAGATTAAAAGTTATATATTAAGTTAGAATTAACATATTTCTTTTCCATAAAATTTTACCAATCATAAAAATCAAGATTCCTAATATGAATCCTAGCTGTAGCACTTAACTAGTCAAGTAAACATTGGGAAATTTAATTTTCTTCAGGTCTCACTTTTTTTTTTTTTTTTTTGGTGGTGCTAGGGATTGAACTCAGGGCATTCGGCTTTGTGCATGCAAGGCAAGCACTCTACCAACTGAGCCATATCCCCAGCTTCATGTCTTAATTTCTTTGTAGAGTTTATAGAACAGTACCTGGAACTACAAGTATTTTTTACTATTACAATTATTTTTACTTTGAAAGAAGAAAATGAATTTTATTTGTAAATTTTCATTTTAGTTATTAATAGTTATTGCTTTAGCACCTAGAAATTTCTCAGTAAATCAATTCTTTTACTGTTAGTACAGTTTTGGAAATCTAATACAGCGTAGTGATTCCTTTCCATTTTTCATGAAGCTGAAAATCTACAGAGCATGTGAGTAGTGTGTCCAGTCCTTTAGTTTGTCATTTTACTCAGTAGTTATGATGGTGATGTTCTTCATGGTGCTCCTACTTGAAGACAGTTGTCTTTAGTTCCTTGGCCTTCTCATTCTAGAACATGAAACACAATCTGAATTGATAATGGTAATTTTCAGAGACTTGAGAGGGTTTTTTTGTTTGTTTGTTTGTTTTGGTGGATGGGATGCTACATTTTCTGAAGGATTTTCTTCCTTTTACATCAATTGTTTTGTACAATCCATTTTCTGATTCTATTCCTTTATTTTGAAAATCATTACTAATGTGTTTGTAGAAAATAAAGTCTTAACAGGTATTAACATATTTCTTTTCTTTTAAGAGTAAAGGAAGGTATTTATTTGAAAGTAGTTGGTCTGCCTGCTTTAAATTCTGGTCAGTTTGAATGTTCCAATCATGAAGAGATTTTGGTGATACCAGGTTAAAGGATCATACTAMAATTTTGTGGAGTAAAACATTGACTCTGATTCTGTGTTTGTCAAAGCACATATGTGGCACTATTTCCTGAGAAAGACTCTAGGTATTTTCTCTCATTTACCAAACTAACAATCTTGATTTTTCTTTTTCTATTTCTTCTTCTTCTTCTTCTCCTTCTCCTTCTCCTTCTCCTTTTCCTCCTCCTCCTCCTTCTCCTCCTCCTCCTCCTCCTCCTCCTCCTCCTCCTCCTCCTTCCTCCTCCTTCCTCCTC